GATGCGTCTCTCCAGCCCCGCTGCCTGCTCTTCATCTGTTGGAATACCTGAAAAACAGAAAGCATTAGCAATGGTAGGACAATGATATGGTTGAGTAAAAGTGGACGGGTGTAACCAGAGCCCTGGAGGATAAAAATAAATAAGGGAAATATCTGCCAATAATACAGTCATGAAAAAAAAAGTGAATACAGTAAACAATTTCATATGCATTTTTTTTTTTTAAATATAACCTATTATACCCCAGTCAAATATTCTCATTGAAATGATAATGGCATTATATCATAATCTGAAATTTATCCTCAAGGTATCAAAGAAGAATCTTCGAAGAAAAAAAAAAACATTAATAAAGGTTATAGTACAAATACACATATACAGAGAGATAGAAGAAACACTTTGTTATGAAATAACATTCTATTTTAATAATTCAAGTGTTTATAAAGTGTTAGAAAATTAAATCTAATTTTTCACTATAAATGTATTTTTAAAAAAACCCTAGAAGGAACACTTTATAAAAATGTTTATTAATAACAAACATATAATGCTGAAAAAAATTATGCAGAAACAATTTTCACTCAGAAATTTTAAGTAAATTTCACAATGAATTACAAAGAAAAAGCTGAATTTTTAAGAAAAGTATGTAAAAAGTACTCCATCTTTGTTTTATAATTTTTTCAAAAACTAATTTTTACAGTGTATATCAGTGTTATTTTATAATATTTATTCTTTGGTGGGGAAAAAACTGAAGTGTGCAACATAAACTATAGTGATATTTAATATTTTTTTGACATTTTGATATTTATTTTCATTTTAAAGTTTTAGGCACTTTGTTGTGTATTTTTGACTTTTTTTTTTACTTTAAATATGTATGGTATAATTCTTATTTTAATTATTTTATTACAGTAAAAGTTAAACTAAATGAAAATGAAAAGTTTTTGAAAAGCTGTAAAAGTTTTTCTGCATTTTATTTCAAGTAACAATGGTTTTAGTTTAGTTATTTACAATAACCCTGGTGTGTATGAATACAAAATTCAAAATTCATCTCTTCCATCTTTATTTGACCCTCTAACTCTAGCACTCTCTATTCTAATTCTATTCTTTATTAAAAAATAAAAACTTGCCCCTTTTAGACTTGCACTCTATTTACTAACTGCTTGTTTCCTTTAAAAAAAAAAACTAACACTAGCTTCTCTCATCTTTTTGTATTCTATTTGTTTTCTTTTTATTTATTATACAATTAACAAAAGGCAAAAAGGGCATCTAACACTAGCTTGCTCTATTCTTTTTCTACTCTGTTTTCTTTTTATTTATTATGTGATTTTTAAAAAATCCTTGCTACGTGTACTGCGTTAAGCTAACTGGGGCTTGTTATAGCACTTATATATCATTGCTCTTTTGTTGATTTTGATTGCTTCCATTGTCCTCATTTGTAAGTCTCTTTGGATAAAAGCATCTGCTAAATGTCTAAATCATTACTTCTACTTGCATGTACATTCACTAATTATACATTAGTTATATAAGCAGTATATACTACAATAATGTTAATGTTACTAATTTAGAGTGTCACTAGCATGTTACTCCAAAAATATTTTTAGGTTTACACTCCAAAAAAAAAAAAAAAAATGTTTTGGTCTTGAGATTGCGATGACAGAATATGTCCACTAGGTGTCGCCCAACAGCGGGTAAATAAAGCGGCGCCATGATCCAGAGTCACTGGCACACGAACATGAGTTTAGTGCCAAGAAAGGCCAGAGCACGGCCTCCACAGCAGAAAGAACACATGACCTTGATTAAACTCACTGCGTATATATCATACGAGCCTCCACGTTATTGTTTTAAGTCATGTGTAGCTTATTTAACCCCTACTTTCAAGTGTTCTTCAGATATTAATGAGCGGTTTCATGTGTTTCTGTTGTGTGACAGCATGTATGCATAAGAGAGTATGTCACTCATTCAAAAATATAGACCAGGACAGCATATTGCTTTATTTTTGTACGTGCATTAATAATATCAGTAGGTTATCTTGCGCGAGATCTGCTTAACTTGTCTATAGAGATTCTTGAATATCTCTCACCTTTACCTGCCATCGCACGCTGAGCTGTTTTCATTAAAATATTCTGTCTTCCCATCAGAGTCAGGCGACAGGCTCTCAGAAGGACTTTACTTGCCATCTTGACTTTAAACTTAAGGTCTTCTGTGGGCGCTCCCACTGACGGTCACTACAGTGTGAACTAGAGTCAGTTAAAGTCGATAGAATGATTGACGTATGGGACTGACCAATCACAGAGAAGATCCGCTGGACTTTGACCAATGAATGAACACACGGTTGAGGAAGAGCGGACAGGTGTGTAACTGGAGAGGACAGTAAAATAAAAGTTAAATCTCTTCCGACTGCCTTTAGTTCTGTCTGAAGGAAAACCAGCAGATTTAAACAGATGAAACAAAAATATTTAAATAAATGTACACTGCCGTTCAAAAGTTTGGGGTAAGTAAGATTTTTATTCTTTTTTAAAGAAGTCTCTTCTGCTCATCAAAGCTGCATTTATTTGATCAAAAATACAGAAAAAATCTGTAAAATTGTGAAATATTATTACAATTTAAAATAACAGGGTTCTATTTTTAATATACTTTAAAATGTAATTTATTTCTGTGATGCGCAGCTGAATTTTCAGCATCATTACTCCAGTCTTCAGTGTCACATGATCTTCAGAAATCATTCTAATATGCTGATTTATTATCAGTGCTGGAAACAGTTTTTGCTTCTTAATATGTTTTTGGAACCTGTGATACTTTTTTCAGGATTTTTTGATGAATAAAAAGTTAAAAAGAACAGCATTTATTCAAAATAGAAATCTTTTGTAATAATATAAGTCTTTACTGTCACTTTTTTATCAATTCTACACATCCTTGCTGAATAAAAGTATTAATTTCTTTCAAAAATAGAAAGAAAAAAAATCTGCTGACCCCAAACTTTTGAACGGTAGTGTATATTGTTACAAAAAATTCAGCTTTGCATCACAGAAATAAATTATATTTTAAAGTATATTAAAATAGAGTAAAGTATATTATTTTAAATTGCAATATTTCGCAATTTTACTGTATTTCTGTATTTTTGGTCAAATAAATGCAGCATTGATGAGCAGAAGAGAATTCTTTAAAACACATTACAAATCTTACTGATCCCAAACTTTTGAACGGCAGTGTATATATATGTGTGTGTGTGTGTGTGTGTGTGTGTGTGTGTGTGTGTGATAATAAATGAATGAAAAAATGCCTTTAATCACGTCAAGGAAAACCAACAGATTAAATAAAAAATGAATAAATAAAATAAAAATAATAGTAAATTTGTGAAAAAATGCCTTTTGGAATACAGACAGATTAAAACAGATTTAATACAGATAGATAGATAGATAGATAGATAGATAGATAGATAGATAGATAGATAGATGCCTCTGCTTCCGACAGAAGGAAACCCGACAGATTTAAACAGATTAAATAAAAAATAAGGTTAAAATAATAATAAATTAATGAAAATTAATTTAGTTCCGTCAGAAGAAAAATCTACAGATTTAGAAAGATTAAATACAAAATTAAAAATAGTATTAGAAAAGTAAATAGACAAAAATATTTTAATATGTAATATTAAAGGAAAAACACAACCTCTTTTACTTCCCCACTTGAATATTATGAATGCTAACGGAATTATATCATAATTTGGAGCTCCTAATGTTAGTAACAATTCAAATAAGAACAAGAGCGTAGGTTTGATTTTGGCATTGGTGGGAACATAACGGCAGACAACAGACATTTACTGTTGACTGTTTGATCAAAATTATTGCTAGAGATAACTTAGTAGTAGCTGATACTGGTAGAGACACGTCATAGCGTCTCTACTAAACTCTACACCCTTGAAAAAGAATCAAGTAAGATTCTACTGAATAAACTATTCTAAGTGATTCTATTTAAAATAACATTCTACTAGATAAACTCAAATTACAACTTTCAGTTACGTTGACAAACATTTGAGTTTACCCAGAATCTTGATAGATTTTTAGAGGATACTTTCCCTTTAAATCTCTTTAGGATTGGCTCCATATATTTAAAAAAAGAATAATAATAAATAATGACTTCTACATTTTTGTCCTATTCCACAATACATTGTTTTATTTATGCAACATTGGCTGACAATTAAGCACAACACACACAGACAATAGAAACATTATAACATATATATATATAAG